CGGACAAATCCCTGAATACGTCCCTGATACCAGCAACATACAGAATGCGGGATTTCTGAACAAAATTTAACAACTTTTCACTGGCTACGTAAACTTGATATTTTTCCGTATTAAAGTGCCATCTTTTGGCCTGTTTACAGTGACAGGCCAATAGATAGAAGCCAAAAAGGTTCGCCATTCAAACCAAGTATGCAGATTATAGATTCAAACAATCCAACGAATGAATATTTAAACTTTTTAAATGAACTTATTTCTTTTTAATGTTAAATGATTAAACTCTAATATGAGGAGACGGGATCACAGAACATTTTTATAACATTTTCATCTCTGCTCACACGCTTTTAAGAAGAAAATATAAAAAATTCAGAACATGTTAGCTTTCAAAATTTCTTTCACACATTCTCGAATCACGCCATGGTATCTGTAGAGACAGTATGACTATTGATAAAGAGGCAGGGTTAGAATTAAAATCTCGTCTGTGTCAAAAAATTTTTTTTCAAAGTCTCTAAAAACAATTTTCTGATATTCAAGTCAAAACTAACCTTTAAAAAGTCCGGAAAACGACCAAATCCGCAAAAGTCAATATTTTGTCTAAGTAATACCTTCTTCCTTTTTATTCGTTTAACCTCTTTTCCCATGTGTAAATTATCCAATATTAGATATATCTGAATTTTCCTATACTACATGCTAGCATATAGGAACAGAAGAGTGATATAAGGTATACACAGAGTTAATTAACTTATTATCCCAACTTGATGGTTACGCTAAAGGGGTCACTTTGTCACAATAGCACAACTACTTTTTCTTTGTAAAGTAAATGTGTTTATAGTGTAAATGGTATTCACGCGACACATTTAAAGCTATTAAAAATTATAATGACCCATTGAAAGATTATCTATTTCATTTTCATTACATAATATTCGGCCAAAAATCATGACGTAAAAAACAAAAGAATGAAAAATTAAATTAGTACAAAATTTTTTGTGTTTAATATTTACCCGCATTCATGAAGCATGCAGTTCTGTATGCTGGGAATCATTGTAACTTCGTATAAAGCTGAACAGACCGCCATTTTAGATTTCATATTGAAACTTAACTGTAATAATTATTTATATTCCTAGCAAGGCTTTCATCAAAGATGCAAAATTCTCCAAATAGTTAGAATCAAAGGAGTTCCTATCTTAATAGCGTTCCTAAACAAATCCGTGGCGCGTGGAGAAGCATGAAAATGAAGACGACAGCAAGCATAACACGTGACAGCAGGACATCTTGGGAAGATTGCGAGGAATGTCCAGGTCGGTTTCTAGAAAAGACATTATTGACAATTAAAATTACAAACCTTTTCGTCTTTTTATACAAAATAAAGATGTCTAGGTACATTAAATGATATATAAATACCTGATGACGTAAATTATTTTGTAATTGAGAACAGAAAGAATGATCAGCGGCAAAAGACAAGTAGTGGCAAGAGGATGAAGAACCTTAACACAAACAATTTTAATTTTATGCAAAGTATAATTTCAAAGACTTAATATTTGTAATGTTGGTAGTTTTCTGCAGGATATTTAAAAAAATCATGATTTTTCGTCCGTTGTCACAATTAAGTATCTTTTCATGTTAAAATAGCCTATTCTTAATTTTTTTTCTTGATATTTTGATATTGATTTAGCACAGAAATGAATAAAACAATAATAAATACAAAATAGGTAAAAGTAATGGTTTGAAAAACTTTGTAATTGTACAAAACACTTCTTACATCAACCTTTTTAAAACCCCACTTTAATTTCGACGCAAGTTTTGAGCCTCAACAATAAAGTGGATTTCAAATTTGTAACCACTTTATTGTCCCGGCTGATCACTTTATATCCTTGTTCTTCAGTCGTCTATGAGAAGGGATTTTTTCTTTTTTTAACATATTGATTTTGTGAGGGATATATATTTTAAGCAGTATTTCCCACTCCCCTCCATTTTATTTCCCAATAGAAATCATTTGTTTTCCCCACTTAAGCACATAAGCCATACAAAAAATACTTAACTAAGGACTGCCTACTTGCCTGGTAATGACAGTTTGAAATTGAGCTGGGATTGATTTTATACTTATTACTTACTCATAATGTTTTAAATATTTCAACTCAATCCTTGAACAGGCAGATATAAAGTAATTACGTTATTGACGGGGGGTGGGGGGGGGGAAGGGGGCTCACAGGGTAAACAGACAGGGGCACGCGGGAGCTGCCTCACCCCCTTCCAGTTACAGCTCTGAGTAATTAAGTTCTTACTTGCGAGTAAATGCCTAGTTTGAGTAGAAGAGAGCTGTCCCTCGCCATCCCCCCCAAGGGGGTCATCACCAGGAGCCTCGGTAGGTTCAGGACAATAGAAAACAATACAACCGGTAGGATATAGGACAGAATTATCTTACATTGTCCTCTTGTCGCGAGTCGAGACTGCAAATATACAACGTCAAATTAAGAGTAAAAAGGATTATAATATGGCCAATTTTGCTACCTTTGATGAAAATTGCATTTTTTTAGTCCGTTCTTCCTAAGGTTTGATAAGTTTTATAACTTTTTAATGGAATATAATTCTTAAACTTGATAAAAAATTAACCCCTTGCAGATAAAGTTTGGACCGGGATCAGTAATTTAATTAAGATATCCTCTGCAAAGGGGAAAAGTTCTTGCTTCACAGAGTGTTCCAAAAAAACTGAATTTTTTTATTTCTGTTTCGAACTTCAAAATTTTCTCCATCAATCGTAATCATTCTTGTAAACAGATCGGACCAATAAAAATATATTTTAAAGAATTTCCTATAGGGACTCATTTTCGAACCCTTTAGTACGCAAAGCTTTTCTTTATTTTCCAGCATATAGAAGTAAAATTAGGAATATTTAAGATGCATGCTAGACTGAGATAAATGAGTTGAGGATATCCCGCGGCCGCTCAAAATGTTTTATGGAAAAGTTAATACACCCTAACCTTCCGTGTAGTGATGCAGATAGGAAAATATTGAAAAGAAAAAAAAAACACAGAAACATTACTTTCGATTCGCCTCAATTTATAAGCCTTATATCTTCGTATCCGGACACTACAATGAACCTTTGATATTTCAATAGTTGAGTTAACTAAAATTTTCTAATCTCTATATCTCTGCAACCTTTGATATTTTAACCTTAGATTATTTAATTTAACATAGTTCATATAGTTTGACATATCAAAGCAAATCTGAGTTTGTGACAATTACTAAGATTCTTTGCCTATTTAATCAAACAAAATTCAAAGGAATTAAGCCTTTGCCACAAACTCTAATTTTTTAATTCCTTTATCTTTGCAACCAAATGTCGTTATAGACCTTAGATATTTCAAACCATGAATTTTGATAAAAAGATTAGAAATTTCAGTTTGTGGCAAAAACTTTATTCCTTTATGAATTAATAGGCTTTTAGGATGCTTCGCGCCCATCTTCTATTTTAACTTTTAATTGTTGCTTTATCTGTGAGTATCTTCTCTTTGTACAGTATAAAACAAAAACAAAAAAAGTTTGCGGATTTCATAATATTTTTCGCGCATTTTTAAAATTTTACAAAAATATAAAACTTAACAACACAAATTTTTAAAATTTTGATCATTCATAAACTTTCCCTGGGGCCACGTGAGGTCCAACACAAAAGGAACTGAGTTTTTGTCACAACTGCAAATTTTCTAATTTCTATATCTCTGCAACCAGTGGGTATACACCTTTGATATTTCAAACTTAGATTATTTGACCTAACAGAATTAGTAGTTTGAAATATCTAAGGTCTACGACATTGGGTTGCCAAGATATATGAATACAAATATTTGAGTTTGTGGCAAAAACCCAGTTCCTTTGGGCCCAATGGGATCAGCCGTTTTGACGTTTATTGGATACAAACAAACAAACAAACACCAAGACACCCAAGATAAATTTATATATAGATACCTGGTAGGTATGTGGTGAGCAAACTGCTGCAAATCTCTCTGTAGTGATGGATATTGTCATGAATACACTAGCTGATACTCCAATATGCAGTACACCTTCAGTCACAGCATACAGGATATAAGGCACCTAGTTCAAACAAATGAATTTTGAAATATCTAAAGTTACCGACATTGGATTGAAAAGATATTGAATTGTGGTAAAGATTCAATTCCTTTTTACAAATGAAAATGTAACTTTTCGATGGCGCTTGCGTAAATTTATTTAGCTGGTACCCTAAACGGATTTTACTGATTTTTTTCATAACATTAAGAACTTTGCAATGTAATATACTTGTGACGTCAAAACAGCGAAGAAGGATGGCGTACAGAGTCCGCATTTTTAAGCAAATTTTGTTTTAATATTAACGTATTCTGTGGGGGAAAAATTAATGATTAAAAAAGAAAATTTAGAATTTTAATATTTTTTTTTACCTATTTAATTAAAAATTTGATATCTTTTCATTTTTGAATTTTACATTATAGTGAGAACGTGATGATGCGTATAAAGTTAAAGAAATTATCAGAAAGCCTTAACTTTGTCAATATTTTTTAGAGTTAAGATTGACTCAGTATGACAAGAATTTTTGAATAATATTTGGAAGATTTTCTGTCAAACTCTGTCCTAAGTTCAACAAAACAAAGTTAATTAAAAATGTATTTTATTTAAAATGTTGAATAGAATATGGAAAACAAACATTTCAGACTTAAAGGGACTGTGGTGTAATTTCAAGTGAACCTCCATCTAAGAAACGAGAGGCATGTCCGGTTCACAACATTACCCTTTAAACCTCTACCTGGGTAGCAATAAAAAAGATACAGTCGTTTTTTACTTCATAGAAATGGATACATTCTGACAATTTTTCTACAGCCTGAATCCGCCAGTCCGAAATACGATTGAAAATAAGGATATCTCATTCAACCTTGATCAAAGAAAGGTTTACGGTGTACCGTAGTAAAACAAGGCATTTAACTTTTTAAATCCAGGGCCCTTTAAAAGTGCATCCACAGCCGCTTTAAAATACAAGATGTTGTGCTCTAGCAAAATAAAAGTAAGAATGAAAAAGCAATTTTGGAAAACAATTTAGAAGCCTCCGATATACCTGTATTTGTAGACTGCGTGTTGATGTCACGAAACTTGCAATAATGACAAGTAGATCTGCTAGACACATAGCAGACAGCAGATCATTGAATATATTTCTCATCTCCCTGGAATACAGGTATTATATTAGATTAGCAGACAGCAGATCATTGAAGATATCTCTCATCTCCCTGGAATACAGGTATTATATTAGATTAGCAGACAGTATAGATCATTGAAGATATTTCTCATCTCCCTGGAATACAGGTATTATATTAGATTAACAGACAGTAGATCATTGAAGATATTTCTCATCTCCCTGGAATACAGGTATTATAGATTAGCAGACAGCAGATCATTGAAGATATCTCTCATCCCTCTGAAAACTATGACTATTATATTATTATAATATAAACCTGGGCAACGCCGGGCATTCCAGCTTGTAATTACTAAAGATCATACTGTACATTGTACATTTTCTTATTTTCCTGTTTCTCGTTTTTTTCCTTGAATTCACTAGTGATCGTTATAAACTGACAATTATTCCTAATAAAACTGTCCCAGTTGACATACTCTCTCCAAAAACTCTGGATAATTGAAAGTATAGACCGGAAATGATAAGTTATCGAAGTTAAAGATATAAAACTCAGAAATCTTGTAAAATAGCTGAGTAGTCCATTTATATACACTTCACACCATTTACATATACTATTTGAGGTCAGAATTCATATATTCAGATATATCATTATCAGTGAGAGGAGATCAATAAATAAGATATACATTAGAGGAGATCATAAATATGAACTAAGATATACATTAGAGGAGGTTATAAATAAGAACTAAGATATACATTAGAGGAGGTTATAAATTAGAACTCAGGTATACATTAGAGGAGGTTATAAATTAGAACTGAGGTATACATTAGAGGAGGTTATAAATAAGAACTAAGATATACATTACTTTGATTTATAGAAAAGGAGATCTGATTTCGATCTCAATATCCGAAGACACCATTGCTGAATATCTTAATTTACATTTCAGAGGAGTGCATTTCTCGGTTTTACAATGCAATTTCTACGATATTTTTCTTTCATATCGAATTTAATGCCCCTCTTCCTATCACAAACTATTTTACTGGAACCCAGTTTAAGATCATAAAAATTGCATAATCGTAATTGCATAATTGTAAAATCTTACTTTTGACGGAGAATTAAGAGGCTCATGCAGTTCCCTAGGGTTCCCAGTATGCCTGAAAAAAAAAATTATATGGACTGTACGTGTTATTTAAAGTGACCATCCTTTAGTACGTATTTAATACTTCGCAAGGGTTCCCTTCATAAAATTTTGTTTAAAAAAATTCAGGTGATATATCCACGTTTTTTTTTAAAAAGTTGATTTTTTAAAGTTATGGTTTCTCTATTAAAATGTATTTTGGATTTATGTCGAATTAAACGCTTTTAAAGGGAGTGAACGGCAATGTATGGTAGTTGAACTGAGAATGTATGTAGCATTGTGGAGAAATTTTTTAGGATTCATTTGAGACATATAAAATTTTTAATTACTAAGCTTAAGTGCAAAGCCGACGTTAAAAATCATCCATTAGGGTGGTTTCATTTTGAGAACATATTTTTCAAATTAAATAACGCCGACAAAAAATGTAATAAAAAATTTTACAGTAAACTAATTAGTTGCTTAGGAACAGGTTAAGAAAATAAAAATTATCTCGTATCATTGAAAATCAGTAATCTTATTCAGTTAGTGGTTTCGGTAATATATCATTGTTCACAAACACTTACTGTAGATTTTCTGGAATTTTTATTGAAAAAACATTAAGAATTAGAATTAAAGAACATAAAGAATTAGAAATTAACCCTATTCCTGCTGGGGGGGGGGTCAATTTGACCCCCCCCTGTAGTTTTTTTTACATAACTCAAAAAGTATTGGTCTGAGGCTGTTGAAATTTTTTGACTTTTCCTACATACCCAAAGCCCTCCCTTTAGGCCTAAAACCGGGCTTTAATACTAACTGCCTGAGTCCTCAGGCACACTGCCTGAATGACTGCTTTTTCCTGTATCAAACTAAATATTTGTTTTGACCCACTTCCACTTGTCAGATTTTGATAAAATTTAGCTTTTTGGAAAGCCTTTGACATAAGGAAACGAATTGCACAAGCTTTGCGAAAAAAAATTGCAAATTTTTTGCAAACAACCTGTTAAAGGAAATTTGCACATTTTTAGTTTTTCTTGATTAAAAATCAGGTTATTTAAAATTTTGCAAAAATTTTTGCATATTTGAAATGGCATGGTCAAGGGATTTTCAAAAATGTATAATTTTTCATTTTTAGGACAAATTATTTTTTGCAAACATTTTTACTATACAACTAAATTTTGCGATAGAAAATTCAATTTTTGCAAATTTGCAAATTTTTTTGCAGATTCTAAAAGTAGAGCACAAGAGCTTTCCAATGATGTATCATTTGTCATATTTGGACATCAAACATGGGATTTAGAGGGGGTGGGGGTCAAATTGACCCCCCCCCCAGCATATCCTGGTTTTCAAGTACCCCAGCAGAGATAGGGTTAAGAAATATGTTCCTAAACATCTGATTAGTTTACTGTAGATTATTTATTTAATAATTTTAAAAATCGATTTCAAACCGTTATACCACCCAAATGAATGAATTTGAACGTCGACTTTGCGCTCAAACTCAGTTATTATTCATCATTAAAACATTTTATATGACTCACATGAATCCTAAAAAGTTTCTCCATAATAATACATTATCAGTTCAACTACCATACATTGCCGGTCACACCGTAAACTAGAAACGCGAAGCTTTCTTCCGCATGATGGCTGGGAAAAGGTTCCAGGATACCATTGTAAAACTGGCATGGCCCTCGCTAAATGGAGGTTCATTTGATAAAACAAATACAGTCCCTGTAAGATATTGCTGTAGACCTGGAAATGACAGCGGAGCTTACTACTTTCTATAGTCACTTACTCCGATAGATAGAGCTGGTCATAGTTTTTCTGAACGATTGTGTCGTTCAGAAATAGACGAACGACTTGGATCGTTCAGAGAAATGCATAAACAATCGTTTTTTCAAAAGATAAAAAAATAATCTTTTTTTAGCGGAAGAACGATTTTTTCGAACACACTTTTTAAAAACGATATTTTTTACTGAAAACGATTTTTTCAGAAAAGACTTTTGAACGTTTCCTTACTGAACAAACGATTTTATTGAACGATCTTTCAGGGAGAAAACGAACAAAATGGATTAAAAATTGACAATAATTTGAGAAATTTTGGAACGATTAAAAAAAACTAATGAAATGGAACGTTTACGAACGATGAACTAACGAAATGAAAAAAGCCGAATGCGCCCATATCTACAGACAGCAGGGGTCGGAGATTGTAACGCTTCTCCCTATTACGATAGCAATAACCGGTATTAGTATATTAGAAACTTAGAAACAATCTGAAGAATTGAGAACAACGTTGCTATTTATTTGAAACAATTTGTTGACAAACGAATTTCATCTCCACAAAAATACATTAAAAAAGCGACCTTTGGTTGAAATCGGGATACAGTCCCTTTAATATATATTAACCTGTTATGAGGGAGAGTAGACCAGAGATCCAGAATTTCCAAGCCAGGATTTCCTCCTCAGTTTCTAGGGATATAGGCTCTCCACACATCAAATCTAAAAAGGGGATTTTTAACAATTTTTAAGAAATGTTCTCCAAATATTACCTGTACAAAAAGGGATTATTAAAAAATTTAATTAAGACCTCCACACCTCAAATAAACGGTAAGGGTATGATTTCGTTAAAAATTCGACTTTGCCTTTTTTTTGGTGGATGTGGGGGGGGGGTAAGGGAGGGCCAGAGTGACAAAACTTATATATGTTATTTACCGTTACCATTACCAAACCTTTTTTTTGTCTGATTGGAATTGGCTCAAATCATCTTAAATTAGATAATTTAGTTAATCTTTTTGGGAATTCTTAAATGTACAGAAAAAAGTGCAAAGATAGCAGAAAAATGGTTTATTGTTCCTTAAATACTTTCTATTCAATCTTTTCAAATTTGATGACTTCGCAAGATTAATTAAATCTCTGATGAGGTGAGTGAGCTGGAATCTTAAATGAAAAAGAATTCAAAATTATATTTTAGACGCAATAAAGGCGCAGCAAGTTTTTTAAATAGTTTTTAATTGACAGGAAAAACTCATAATACATAGCTTCAATTATTTGTGTTGCCACTCAGAGCACCTACTTAACTTTAAGTTCTGTTTTACATAAATTCTGCGGCCTGTTTCTCTTTATCTATACCATACACTTTGCTGGTCTGTCTGTTAGTTTGTTTGCGACCGAAAAACGCCAAAACGGCTGAACCGATCGGGCCCAAATTTTGTTGTGTGACCGATCACATAACCCCAGAGAAAGTTTACGGATGCTTAGAATTACAAAATATTGTCTCAAAAATATTTGATTTTCCTAGAATTATGAAAATTCACGAAATAAAATGTGCAAATCCGCTAATTTATATTATTTGTTTATCGAAAAGGCTGGAAAATTGAGCAATAATTAAAAGTGAAAAATAGAAGATGAGCGCGAAGTGCCCTAATAGATCATTTCTAAATATAAAGAAAGTGACTACTTTCAGCAAACTCTAATTTTCTAATCCATACATCTTCAACGATACTAATCTAATAATTCTAATCGCTACGTCTTTGAATATGATAAAGAAAACTTTTAATAGTTAAAGCTTTCACTATTTGACCTAGCAGAGTCCATAATTTGAAATATCAAGGGTGATCGACATGATACATCAGGTTTCAAATATATAGAAAATTTTTGTAGAACAAATTTTCAATTTTCGAGGAAGTTTTTAAGTTGAAAAAACAATGGAACTCTGTAGAATTAAACCCTTCTCAAATCGGAAAAACGACGTTATCTTCCACAAAATTAATCAGATTAAGGTTTCAAGGATACCGCTGTACGGATCATGCATGCCCTTCAGGACAGTTAAATAAATAAGAAAAGGAAATATCGAGAAGGAAAATAAGATGACAAGAAGAAGTATCTATATATAAATTTGGGTTGTCTGTCTGTTTGTCTGTCTGTTTGTTTGTATCCAATAAACGTCAAAACGGCTGAACCGATCGGGCCCAAATATTTTGTGGGACATCTAGGGACCCCAGGGAAGGTTTATGAATGATTGAAACTTTAAATATTTGTCTCCATCAAAATTCGATCTTCATTAAATTTTTTAAAATTTTGAAAATCCACAAATTTTTTGTGAAAATCCGCGAATTATTTTTGTTTTGTACACAAAAAGAACATTGTTCACAATTAATTTAGAAGAAGGGCGCTTCTAAGGTTAGAAAGAAGGGCGCGAAGCGCCTTGAATTTCTAGTAAAAGTATATTTCTGCATGATCTTTAATCAATAATTAAAAAAATTATTGTTAAATTTGAAAATTACAAATAAATATTTAAAAAAATGCATGCTCTTGAAATGAGGGACAATTAAAATTACGAGAATAGTTCTTTTAATTCAATTTGTTTAAGTCAATTAATTTTTTAGTTTTTAAAATATTTGCTTTTTCATGATTATATTATTTCTTATATTATCTCTAAAAATAATTATGAAGTATTGAAGTGGTTACATTTATTTATCGTTAAGCTCTGCAGTCTGCATGATTACGGTGTAAATAAGGTAGCTCAGGTCTCAAATGGTCATTAATGATTGCTGATTGCTAGCATGCGAGGCTCTCTCCTGACCCCCCCCCCCTCCCCCTTTATAAGTTTATAATTCTAATTTTAATCATCTCTAGATAATGTAAAGAGAGTTTTAAAGGGTATCAATTATATCAATGATTTAGGAGAAAAGGTTTTAAAAATTATTAAAATATTCGTGGATGAAATTGAATTTGTTTTTTTTAGGTTTTAAAAGGTTTAAACTTTAACATAAACATTTAATGCTTAACTTCTTTAAAAACTTTATTAATAAATCTAGGTTTAGATTAATTATTTCAAAAATTTTGATGATTAACGAAATTTCGGTGAATAAATTAAAATTTTTTTTATGATTTATCTCAATGAATAATCTACAAATCTTGATGATTAACAAGGAGCATCTCAATGATTCACGAGAACTCGTTAAATAAATCTTAACATCTTGATGATTAACAAGATCTCGTTAAGTAAATCTAAAAACCTTGATTAACAACTAGACTTCGTTAAGGAAATCTAAAAAATCTTGTTGATTTTCTAGATATCGTTGATTAAATCTAAAAACGATTAACTAGACATAGATAAATAAATCTAACAATCTTGATGATTAACGAGATCTCATAAGTAAATCTAAATCATATTGAATAAATCTAAAAATCTTGATGCTTATTGACTACTTATTAAATAAATCTAAAAATCCTTGATGCTTATTGACTACTTATTGAATAAATCTAAAAATCCTAGATGCTTACCAACAACACGTTGAACTATTTGTGTGTAGAGAACTGAGGTTGGATACTCAGACTCCTCATTTACATTCCCAGCAGACACCAAATTCTAGATATTTTTTAATTAAGATAATAATAATAATAAACGGCTACCCGGGAGTATTCACAAAAAATGTCAGCCCATTTGGTCCAACCGTTTGACCGGCTATAGGCAACATGTAAATGAATGTCTTGTTTTATTATATAGATAATAATAAATTTCAATAATAATAATAATAATTATTACTATTATTATATTAACAATGACGATTAGAAATATGTTTTCTGTATATAATCATTGTAATGGTTGAAATAGTTTTCTAGGAAGTATATTATACAATACAATCAATGTTTTACTCTCAATGTTAGGTTCTTTTATAATATATCCCCATACTAACAAGCCTCCTACTCCCTACTCCCTACTCCCTACTCCGAAATCTCTACTTCCTACTCCCTACTTCCTACTCCCTACTCCCTACTCCCTAATCTCTACTCCCTACTTCCTACTCCCTACTCCCTACTCCCTACTCCCTAACCTCTACTCCCTACTCCCTACTTCCTACTCTCTCCTCCCTACTCCCTAATCTCTACTACCTACTCCATACTCCCTACTCCCTACTCCCTACTCCCTACTCCCTACTTCCTACTCCCGCCTCCCTACTCCCTATACTCTCTACTCCCTTCTCCCTACTCCCTTCTCCCTATTCCCTACTCCCTACTCTCTAATCTCTACTCCCTACTCCCTACTTCCTACTTCCTACTTCCTACTCACTACTCCCTACTCCCTACTCCCTACTCTCTAATCCCTACTCCCTACTCCCTACTTCCTACTTCCTACTCCCTACTTCCTACTCCCTACTCTCTACTCCCTACTCCCTACTCCCTACTCTCTAATCTCTACTCCCTACTCCCTACTTCCTACTTCCTACTTTCTACTTCCTACTTCCTACTTCCTACTTCCTACTTCCTTTCAATAAAACACCAAGACTCTTAGGAAATAAATATACAAGAAAACATGATATTTATTTGAAAATTTAAACTTATCTATTACTCTTCATTTCCCTTTTTCCCTTTTCCTAGTAACAATATTACCTTTTAGATGTGGATTTCAAGCCGCCATCAATTTTGCAATGTTTAAAACTAAAAATTCCACCGATTTTTGAATTTATTTTATATATTTTCAAAAAATGAAGAAAAAAAATTTGGTCAGACAAAGACCTCCCTTGGGTTCACAAAATAATTGCGCCCGATCTATTCAAAGGTTTCCTGTACTCAATTAATCACGGCTAATTTCATGATATTTTACCTGTTTATTTAACCTTGCAATCATCTTGTCAATCATTTGCACATATTTAACTTTTGCACAACCCGATAAAAAGCTCAAGTTCATAATCAGATAACGACACATAACTGGAATTAGTGTTGTCAATCGTTTTAGATCGTTTTAGATCGTTTTAGATCGTTTTAGATTGTTTTAGATCGTTTTAGATCGTTTTAGATCGGTTTAGATCGTTTTAGGTTGGTTTAAGTTTTAGATCGCTTTAGATCGTTTTAGATCATTTAAAAAATATATTAAAACCTATAAGATTTCAAAACTGTATTATGTTAAAGTTTACTTTATCCTAAAGTTTGCGATACATCTTCTGCCAGGGTCCAAATTTGACAAAGTGTAAGGAAAGCAATCCCTATCAAAAATCTTTTCATACATATTTTTTAAATCTTCCATGAGTCTTTAATATGTATGTACATTACAATGTACAATGTACATTACAATGTACAATGTACATTACAATGTACAATGTACACTGTACATAACAATGTACAATGTACAATACAATGATTTCTGTGATAGTTAGATAGGTTTTCTAAATCAAACTAGAAAATTATAATTTAGAGTTATTTTATACATCATGGAGGATAAAGAATTACAGAGTAGTCAGGTATAACCTTAAAAGCAACTCACGATGTAATTTTAAGAAGCCTTCCATTAAGAGAAGGGCATTCACGTTTAAACCTTTTTCTGATCAATATTGTGGAAGATATTGTCGTGTTTCTAGCCTGAAAAGTGTTTAATTCTGACAATTTACTCATACATTCTTGATCAGACAAAGCGTATAAAGGTGCCATTGTGAACCGGGGTAAGCTTCTCATTAGATGGAGTAACACTAAAACTTTAAAGGGAAAAGATTAGGATATTTATTTATAATTTAAAAATTTAGTCTAAAAATATTTTTTCTTAGTTTTTGGAAAATTTGGTTCAAGGTCTAGATGTGATTAAAAGGCACAGGTAATCTTTCCTCTTGGAAATGTAGCATTCCCTTATACAGTAAAAAGGTGGTATTTTTCTTGATATGATTTTGCTTTAGTAGATATATTTGTTGTATTATAGAGAGAATTTCAAATCGTAAGAAAAAAAGGAAATGAGAAAGAGGTTGTGAATTCTTCCAAATAGATTGTCAAGTACAATAGATGGCAACAGAAAATTCGACCAACTGCGCACAACGTCACAAGTGTCAAATGTAAAAAGAAAGACGACATGTCCTATTTGGATTCTTCTGTTTGTTTGGTAAAACCTGCTGGTGCAAACATAATTTGGACTAAATTGGGAACAATCACCATCTTCTTAAATAAACAATTTTGAAAAATGCACAATTAGTTATTTAATGATGCATGGAAATCAATTCTATAAAAATAGCTGAAAGCACACATTGTTCAGTCTCAGATAATCAGGACAAAGAAATTGAGTCTTTGCCACAAACTCTGATTTTCTAGACCCATATATATCTTTGCAACTTAGTGACGTAAACCTTAGAAATTTCAATCTTTAAATTCTGTAATAATATCAAATAATCTAAGTTTAAATTATCAAAGTTTTACACTATCAGGTTGCAAAGATACAGTGATTAGATTTATGCCAATGTGACTCAATTACTTTTAAAAATTATTTTAATTTTCAAAAAAACGAAAATTAACATTCAAAATATAATGTTTTGCAGATACATGTTTTGAATTTCTAGTTTAAACTAGTATTAAATCCTGGCTCAAGATAAAGAAGTACCTTTCTCCCCCCCCCCTTTAAATTTCATACCCTTCCGACTCAATCAAAACAACAACCACCCCATTTCATTTCGATTTACAATGTTTTCAAATTTAATCAGTTGACCAGTGTCTCCCCAATTACAGGTCAAAATTTAAATTGTTATAAATTGTATACATGTTTTTTTCTTTAAATAATTCTGCAATATTTGATATTGTTTTTGTTTTAGTACTGATGAGGACATGTCGAAATATATTTACTGAAAAAGTGGTCTTCATCGTTTATTTCTAATCTGGTTCGGTTCAACCTTCCACCAACAATATCATTATTCATGATATCTGTAGAATAATTTAGAAAATACGAAAATTTACACTTGAATTGAATTGTTATAAACTGAGCTTGGAATTGATATCTGACCAATAAACCTTGATTTCCTCTCATTTTCCACATTGCCCATTGGGTCATTATGGAGATAGATACCCCCCCCCCCAGCGGGGAATTTTATTGGGTCAGGGGGGGAATGACTGGTTTATGCCCAATACTCCTCTTTAAATGCATGTGCATCTTGTGTTTCATGGTGAGAATGGACAAAATGAATATATTCTGATTATCTTTTCATTTACAAACATTTCTTAACCAAAAAACAACTTCTAAACCCCCCCCCCCGCCCACGTAAGTCGTCTTTACCAAAACCTCTCTCGGAGAAAACTCCAAACCAAAGCAAGTCTCTGTTCAAATTTATCTGTACTCTCCGACAAAAGAAACAACAAACAGTGAAACGCTTTACTAAGTAAAATCCATAAATAACTTTGCAATCCATAGTTAATTCCACTCAAACAACCAGGTTTATATTTTCAGAAGTATTCACAAATGTTTTAAACTATTCCATCAAACCCTCTAACCCTAATCACTCCTTTCACTCCATCTTTTTTCTGATTATTGGAGACTAATGTGACTAACTAGCCAATTAACCAACTAGCCAACCTACCACCTGATTGTTTTAGCGAACATTGTATCAATTGTTATAGCAAGCATTGATTTATAATGATTTCAATTTATAATTACTTTTCCTGTTCATATATGTATCCTTGAATAGGTCCTGTAAACCTGCAATATATTTAGATGTTGTCTTTGTTAAAGTGAGCTATTTTAGAAAAACCTATACTTTAAAGCTTTTTTACACAAAATTACAACGGATTGCTGATAATCTAGAGATGTTAATAGATTCTAACAACCATTTGTCAAAGATCTAGGGGCGCCACAATCCCGCCCAAGTATTGGTTTGGGCTCTGAATCGCTAATAAAATACCCCATTTTGTCCCCCGCCCCTGACAGAGGAATGAACAGAAGGGTAGGGGGGGGGGGGGTTTAAAATCAAATGAAAAAAAGAATGCATGTAATTATGTTTAAACTTGAAATCCGAGAAATTCAGAAAATAATCTTGAAATTCCTTAAATTCCTGTTCTTCCATTTATTTTGCAAACCCAGATTGTTGTTTTTGACTATTATATATATTTTTTAATGTTTAAATAGTGCTAGGAACGATAATGACAAGAAATGAAACTTTTGTGCTGTTAATCAATAAATCATGCAGTTAAGCGTATTTTGCAATCTTGTGGTTTGAACCCACTGGGGATTAAACTAAAATCAAGGAATTGAGCTGTGTCAACCCTTAAAGAAATTTATATTTTAAAATTAGATTATTTTATCTTACAGAATTAATAGTTTAAATGATCTAATGTCTATGACGTTGGGTTGCAATGATATATTGATTAGAAAGTCAGAGTTTGTGACATAGACTAATTTAAAAAAAGATGTGATAGTGAATATCGAGATCAAGCGTTTCATATATTAGTGCATGAATCATGATATCTCACAAAAAAGGTGTCGACCATGAGTATTCCAGAAAAAAAATCAAGAAATGTCCGTTTTAGTTTCTGCTCATATTTTTTTATGTTTGAAAAATTCAAGAGTGTTTTCTCCCGCCCCCCCCCTGAGGTGGTAGCTGCAGTATATATGTGAATTTAAAGTTG